CCACACCCAGCTTGGAGCCCGACAGGGAGTGGTGGGGGGCAGGGGGCTTGAACTCACGAACCTGAGCCAAAATCACGAGTTGGACGCTTAACTAATTGAGCCATCTGGGTGCCCCCTCTCACAGTTTTAGATAATATACTCGTATACACAGAGAATGCCAGCCAACTATCTTTTCTTCCTTCTGAAGGTTGAAGTGGAAGAAATGTTTCCTGAGGTCTGTTCAGAAGAACAGGACACTGTTCACAAGTGTCCAGAGTGAAAGCAATAGATGAGGCCCAAGTCCACCTTCTTTGCAGTGCTGTCCTTGCACAGAGTCTGACTTTGTGAAAGAATACTGGTTCCCAGCTGCTCAAGATGGGTGTGAACAAGATGCGCAGGGGTAGGGGATACTGACCTCCTAAGCTCTGAGCTCGGTTCTACACCATGGTAATTGAAGGCATGTGGTGTCTGGATAGGAACATCCAAGCAGATGGAAGGAACAGAGTAGGGAAGGCAGAGGCAGACCTATGTTGACTGACCCAGTGGGAATTTGGCGCAATGTAGATCGCATTACAGACTGGGGGAAAGCATTTTGTGAATGGTGTTGGGATGCCTGGCTTCAGCCAAAAGGAGAAAGATTCCATAGAGGAGGCTTAAAAGGCAAAAGCCATTAGGGGAAAAAGTAGATGCATTTGACTATATCAAAGTTTAAACTTTCTGTTCAACTAAGGACACTCTATAATAAGATGAAGATCGACCTGTGGTCACTCAGGCATGGTTTTCCATAACGTACATACCCATTCTCCTAATCCCAGGCACTCGGGTTGCATCCAGCTTCTTCCCGCTACAAACAATGGTGCCCCCACCCTCTTGAGGGTCTGTGCAGAGTCCTCTGAGGGTATTCTCGCAGGAATGAAATTGCTGGATTATAGAACTATCCACTTTGCTTCCTAGTAAGCGGTGATGGGCAGCGGCTTCTCCAGAAAGGCTGTCATAACAATGGTGTGCTTTCTGGTGTGGTCCTTCCACATCCTTAGGCACAGAGTAGGAGCCCCGGCCCACAAAAATCTCCCGTGGAATCACTTTCAAGTCAAAAGGTGCTGTCATGTTAACATAGTAAGGGTCCTAGAGGCATGCAGCCATAGAAACTCCCTGTAACCAGCTGGTATGAGTAACTGTGAACTGAGTCACAAAATGATTTCCCAAAGGTCACGATGTGTAGATTTAAAACTGACCTCTACCTAATCAGAATTCCAGAAATGAGTCTTCTGGATATTGATTAGCTGGTGCCTCGAAGGAGAAAGAATTTTATTTTTTGTGCTCATTCACTAATTTGTCAGCAAATATTTGCTGAGGGCTACTCTGTTAGGTACTTGAGTAGGTGCTGGGAATACAGCAGTTAACAAAACAAACAGGTCATGTTCTCATGGAGCTTAAGAGTCTAGTAGGAAGTAATGACAAATAATCACATGAAAAACATAATTACAAATTGTAATATGTGCTATGGATGAAAAGCACATGTACTGATTTTGCATGAAGGTTAGGGAAATTCTCACTGGGGGGGCTAAAATGTAAGCCAATCTTAAAGATAGCAACAACATGTTAACCAGGTGAAGAGCAGTAGATACTTGGTGGGGTGGGAAAAGCTTTCTGGGCAGAGGAAAGAGCTGTGTACAGACTCAAGGAGGAGAGAGAATGAAGCAAATGCAAGGCACTAAGAGAAGGCCCATGTGGCTGGAGCATGGGGGGAAGCTGTGGGCAATGAGGCTGGGGAAATGGCCAGGGGAAAGACAAAACTTGGGTTGTTGGGTATTTTAGATTTTACACTAAGTATAACGGGAGGCCACGGAAAGGGTTGAAATACCACTCTGGCTCTTAGGTAGAAAATACTTGAAAAGGTCAGTACTAGGAAATTAATTGGGTTATTGTAGGAGCCTAGACGAAAGTTGATGGTAGCCTCCAGGAGAGTTCGGAGGGAACACGTAGAGAGAAGTGTATGAATCCCAAATATATTCTGGAGGTAGAATCACCAGTATTTGTAAAGAACTAGATGTTGAGTGTGAGCAAGAGGGAGATGTCGAGAACGACTGCCAGGTTTCTGGTGTGCCCAGTTGGGTGGACAGAGATGCCATTCACTAAATGGTGACTACTGAGAGAGAAACAAATTATGGAGGGAAGAGCAAGAGCTCTCTTTAGGCCATGTTAAGTTGAGATAAGGAAGTCAGATAAAATGAATCTGGAGCTTAGAAGAGAGTTTGTTACAAAAACTTGAATTGAGCTGTAAATAGGTGATATTTAAAGCTGTGAAAACTGAGATTAGGTAGTGAATGTATATACAATAAGGAGAAATGAGGGCTTAATTTGGAAACTGGAGTAAGAGCAACTTTAGAGGCTAAGTAATGGAGGAGCAGGCAGCAAATTAGGCTGAGGAGAGACCAGAGATGTACAAGATAGCACAAAGAGTGTGGTGCCATGGAGGCCAAAGAGAGTCTACTATAGGTCAAAAAGGATGTAGACCATTGGATCAAACAATATGGAAGTCACCAAAGACCTTACTGACAGCTATGCTGCTGGAATGTTGAGCATCATAGTGAAGTGGGTTGAAAAACAGGTACTTCTATTTCTTGCAATATGTGGAATGACTTATCCTAGAAGTGTTGGTTGAAATGTAAAAAAAAAAAAAAAAAAAAAACAACAAACAAACCTCCTTTAAGATGCATAGCAGAATACCTAAGAAAATAAGGTAAGTCAGCAAAGTTGAAAGAACCCCCAAATAGGTACTTTGAACCCTCAGAATCTTAGCTGATTCTAAAGCTGTAATTGCTCTGGAGGCATTTGCTGTTCTTTATAACCAAGAACCTTTATTTTAGCAGCTGCCCAGAAAGAGACAGAGCTTCAGGACCTAAAGAGGTAGAGAGTTGGGGCTGAAACCCTCCAGATATGGTCACAGCTCTCAAAGGGCGACACATTTAATGAAGAGATGGAACAGGAAGAACTTGCCACCTGGTGAAAGGAGATGACAAAGAGTTATCTATCTTCCTTCCTTCCTATTTTATCTATCTATCTATCTATCTATCTATCTATTTATTGTTTTATTTATTTCTGAGAGAGAGACAGACAGTGTGAGCAGGGGAGGGTCAGAGAGAGAGGGAGACAGAATCGGAAGCAGGCTCCAGGTTCTGAGCTTGCTGTCAGCACAGGGCCCGATGCGGGGCTTGAACTCATGAACTGTGAGATCATGACCTGAGCCGAAGTCGGACGCATAACCGACTGAGCCACCCAGGCGTCCCCTTCCTTTTTATTTTAGAGGGAGACAGAGAAGCCAGGGAGAGGGACAGAGGGAGAGAGAGAATCTTAAGCAGGATCCATGATCAGTGTGGAGCCTAAGGCGGGGATTGAGCCCATGATCCTGGGATCATGACCTGAGCAGAAACCAAGAGTTGGATATTCAACTGACTGAGTCACCTAGGTACTCCTAGAGTTATCTTTCTTGACCTGGGGTCTGGGTAGGGAAAACTTCCCTAGAATGGAAAACTACTCTCCTCTCACATGTGTTTGGGATTCAAAATGGCACTACTCTGGTAATCTGGCTAGTCCTTGAAAGAAGAATTAAATTACACTGTATGATTTGATAATGTACAAGGATGTCTGGCAGAAACAAAGCAAATCTTCTTCGGAAGGACTCCACACAGGTATCTCAAGCCTCACCAGAGATGAGCTTACAATCCCCAAATTACAAGACACATGAAGTGATGCTGGTTTGAGTCAGTAGAAACTGAATCAGATTATCAAGAATATTGAGAGTAGGAACCATTAGTTATAGAATATTAAGTAAGTTTAGTGTTTAATGAATAAAAAGCTGAAAAGAAAACAGGAAAGACTAGAATGCCTTCCAAAGAGGCAGGAAAGATTTGGAAAAGAACAAGATAATGCTTCTGATAATTAAAGATGTAAGTATTGAGAGGTACCTGGGTGGCTCAGTTGGTTAAGCATTGGACTCTTGGTTTCAGCTCAGGTCATGATCTCTTGATTCGTGGGTTTGAGCCCTGCATGGGGCTCCATGCTGTCAGCCCAGAGCCTGCTTGGGATTCTCTCTCTCCTTCTCTTTGCCCTTCCCCCACTTGTGTGTGTGCACACCCTCTCAAAATAAATTTTAAAAAAAGATGTAAGTAGTGAAATGGATACTTCAGTGATGGCTTAAACACCAGACTAACTGCATCAGAATTAGAGAATTGAGAGGTAGACCTGGCATCACCCAGGAAGAGAGAGGAGGTAGGAGACATGGAGAACCCAATGAGAGAGGATCACATGTCGCATGAAGAGCATCAGAAGAGTGGGGAGAGCATATTCCAAGGGCATACCTGAGAATTTTCCTGAGGGCATGAGTTGAAAAGCACAAGTCTTACGATTCAGAAATCACAGTGTATGATAAAGGAAAAGTTCATCCCTTGACACATAGTGGCGGTATCACAGGTCGTGGAGGGAAGAGAAGATTTTTATGGCTGCCAGAAAGACAGGTGAGCAGGTCCGCCAGACCGCAGACTTCTCAACAAGAGCCGTGGGAAGAAGAGGCAGCAGTAGGACCTTAAAGGCTATGAAGAACACAACTGTCAACCAAGAGTTGCAGACACATCTAAACCACCAGGCAGGTACCTGGCCACGGAGGACGCAAAGGGGGACGCTTTGCAGCAGTGGACCCTCACTGTGAGGAGTTTCTGAAGGACGTGCGTTAGGGTGAAGGCCACCTGAAGCTGCTCCTGGAGAGGAAGTAGATCTGAGGTATAAGAAGCAATGGAGATCAAGGCAGCAGATGGTAGGTGTGTGTAAACAGTATTGACAAGGTGCACCCCTGCCCACCCTCACTGGCATGAACCCTATGGAGGACCGCCCTCTCTAAAACTACAATTCCCGTGAGGCTCCGCGCGCCGCGCCGGCGCCGTGGCCTGCGTGGCCATTCTAGAACGCAGCGCCAAGGGGCCCGGCGCCATGTTGGGATTTAGGTGAAGGCAGAGAGGCTCTTGAAGCGGCGGGAGCGGGTTGGACCTGGGCTGGTAGGAGCCCCGCCCCTCCCGCCTCAGCGGATCATGACCCGGGCATCGGCCGCGGAGGTCACGGTGGCGGGGGACGTGGCGTGGCGGGGCCGGTGCTAGAGATGATGCCGTTTCCGGTGACAACTCCTGGATCACAACAGACCCAGCCGCCACCCAAGCACTACGGCATCTCCTCCCCCATCAGTTTAGCAGCCCCCAAGGAGACTGACTGCGTACTTACCCAGAAGCTAATTGAAACCCTGAAGCCCTTTGGGGTTTTTGAAGAGGAAGAGGAACTGCAGCGCAGGATTTTAATTTTGGAAAAATTAAATAATCTGGTAAAGGAATGGATACGAGAAATCAGTGAAAGCAAGAGCCTTCCACAAGCTATAATTGAAAATGTTGGAGGGAAAATCTTTACGTTTGGCTCTTACAGGTTAGGAGTGCACACGAAAGGTGCTGATATTGATGCGTTGTGCGTTGCACCAAGACATGTTGACCGAAGCGACTTTTTCACCTCATTCTATGATAAATTGAAACTACACGAAGAAGTAAAAGATTTAAGGGCTGTTGAAGAGGCGTTTGTACCAGTTATTAAACTGTGCTTTGATGGGATAGAGATTGATATTTTGTTTGCTAGATTGGCACTGCAGACTATTCCAGAAGATTTGGACCTAAGAGATGATAGTCTGCTTAAAAATTTAGATATTAGATGCATAAGAAGCCTTAACGGTTGCCGGGTGACAGATGAAATTTTACATCTAGTACCAGACATTGACAACTTCAGGTTAACTCTGAGAGCTATCAAATTGTGGGCCAAATGCCACAATATCTATTCCAATATATTAGGTTTCCTAGGAGGTGTTTCCTGGGCCATGCTAGTAGCAAGAACTTGCCAGCTCTATCCAAATGCAATAGCATCAACTCTGGTACGTAAGTTTTTCTTGGTATTTTCTGAATGGGAGTGGCCAAATCCGGTGCTACTGAAAGAGCCTGAAGAACGGAATCTTAATTTGCCTGTATGGGACCCAAGAGTAAATCCCAGTGATAGGTACCATCTTATGCCCATAATCACACCAGCGTACCCACAGCAGAACTCCACATACAATGTGTCTGTTTCAACAAGGATGGTCATGATTGAGGAGTTTAAACAGGGGCTTGCTATCACACATGAAATTTTGCTGAGTAAGGCAGAATGGTCCAAGCTTTTTGAAGCTCCAAGCTTCTTTCAAAAGTACAAGCATTATATTGTACTTCTAGCAAGTGCACCAACAGAAAAACAACATTTAGAATGGGTGGGCTTGGTGGAGTCAAAAATCCGAATCCTGGTTGGGAGCTTGGAGAAGAATGAATTTATTACTCTGGCACATGTGAATCCTCAGTCATTTCTGGCTCCTAAAGAAAATCCTGACAAGGAAGAGTTTCGCACGATGTGGGTGATTGGGTTAGTGTTAAAAAAGCCAGAAAACTGTGACATTCTCCGTATTGATCTCACCTATGATATCCAGTCTTTCACAGATACAGTCTATAGGCAAGCAGTAAATAGTAAGATGTTTGAGATAGAAATGAAAATTGCTGCAATGCATTTAAGAAGAAAGGAACTTCATCAGCTACTACCTAATCACGTGCTTCAGAAAAAGAAGACACATTCAATGGAAGGTGTCACTTTGACAGCTCTGAATGACAGGAGCCTTGAGTTGTCTGTAGACAGTGAAGAACGCACATTTGTGCCTTCACCTACTAGCATTATGAAGACCGGCCCAATGACGGGCAGCTGTCAGGGCAGAAACAGTCCCGCTCCCGCTGTCATGGTGGCATCTGTGACCAATGTGCAAGTTACTGAAGTTTCCTTGCAACAAGTGAATCCCAGTGAAAGTGTGGGTGCATTGGGGGAAAGCATTCCTCAGACTGCCTCACAACCAGCCCTTTCTCTGCCACCAAAGCCCACCGTTGCTAGAGTTGTCTCCTCAACATGTCTGGTAAACCATCCCCCCAGGCCTTCAGGGAGCACTGCAACAAACATAGCTAATCCTATAGTGGGAGTCTAGTGGACATTCTCACCTCATCAAGGACCAAGGAAACTAAAAGAAGACGAACAATCTTATAAAGAGACAGTATAACTCCACTAGAAACCACTCAGATTGTGGCTGGATGTGCGAAACATCCAGTACAGAACGTTCCAGTATCCCTGCTCTCCCTGCAAATCCTGCTCCTGTTACTAAGAATTCAGTAAGACAGATTGAACTGATAACAACCTCAAGGGTCCATTAACCATATCTGCCAACTCAACCTGTTGTCTTCAGACGCTACAGGAGGAGAACGAAGGGTACCAAACTAGATTTGACTCAAAATAGATTTAGCCTTATTTGGTAACTTCCTTTACTTGGCTAATCTTGATTGGAAGTCCAGGTTGGTAGATGAAGCTAGAAGTACTATTATTAATGTGTCAGCAGCAGTTATAGTAACTATTTTAAAGGACTACTGCCCATAAAGAGAGGAAAAAAAAAAGAGAAAAAACCCTCCAGCTATATTTGTACCCGTGCCTGACATCTGGACTGGATTTATGTTTGATGCATTGTTGGGGAAAATTTGCAATACAAATCGGTATCAGAATTCCTTATACTGATGATGCACTTTATATATATATATTTTATTAGAAAGTAGAACTAATTTTAAGTCTTCCAGCTTGATGAATTTTAGTTTTTTCCTAAAGAGCTTTCTTCATTACTAATCGTCAAGTAGTTAACCGTTGCGCAGTGTGTACTCAACTTCAGAAAAAGTGTAAAAGTACATCTCACTCGGTCCCCGCGAGGTAGCTCTCACCCTTTAAAAATGAAACGTCACCGCATAGGGTATGTATTTGACATTGAAGCAGTAGTCAGTCTTTGGTTTTGTTGGGACACAATCACAAAATGATATATTGGTCTTATCTGTAGAATTGTTGCAGAGTGCATACAACCAGCAATCAAACAGCAACTATGGTCTCAGAACTAATGAAGGTCCATATTCTCTTGCCCTTAATCATTTCCCCTCAGACAGAAAAGCATTTTGCCTCTCCCTTCACCCCAACTCCATTCTCTTTGCTTGTATGCACAAAGTATGCTTGTATGTGGATTCATGAAAACACCTGAAATGCTAGTATATTCTTAACAATGATGTGAAACCAACAGTCCTGTGGCCTCATGGCACAAAAGACTGGATTTTGACTCCATGGCTAATATTTTACTAGAGCTTTCCTAAAAGTAGCCAGTTGGAAGACATGTCATCTGTCGGTCCTAGTTGAGCTTTACGTATGAAAAACTTTGTATGCTCCACAGGATATCTATTTGTAGTAAAGTTAATTTCCATTTTGAACATGTAAGCAAAGAGCCGTTTTCCTCAAAATATTTAAACTCAGTTTCTATTTTTAAAGGACTCGTTAAAATTCATCAGTAAATTTTTTACATGTAAAAACATAAAAAATAATTTCTAGCAAGCATTTGACATCTAGCGAGCATTCTGTTTTTGTTTTATCCTCCAAGAAATTTGGAATACCTTTCTTTAAATTAAAAAAAAAGACCACTCATAATTAAGCAGCAGCACATCCATGTTTGGGAAACATGAATGGCCCAGATATAGATGAATGGAAACTTGGTCTGCCTTAATCGGAGCACAGTGAGCCTGACAGTTTTTCCAGTCAGCCTGGTCCTGATTTCTGGCCTCCCCCAACTGTGTCCTTTCTACCACATGTGCATTTTTCATACTAAACTACAATTTCTTATGCCCTTTCCCTGTCCTTCTAGATTCACTTTCTAAGTTTGGAATGGTCTTCCCTTTAGGCTCTGCAGTAATTGAGGCTTTCTTTTCACCCTTATTGTGTGATGTCAAGTACCCAGCATTCCTGTTCTACACGCCTTTACCCTGTGAAGTCACCTTACCCCTCTGGCACGGTAGGTTAGGTGCAGAGTACACAGTAACAGGGTCTTTCAGGTAGCCATGGGGTCAGGTTGGAATTGCCAGGCATGAATCTAGTCTTCTCATTTTGTTAACCTACGGCAGGGGTTGGGAGGGATTAGTTTAAGTATTTCGTGTAACTCTACTTGTTTAACCAAGCTGAAAACTTGGAACTTTCTAGTTTTCATTACCTGAATATCAGACTAGTTTTTTTTTTTCCACATGATGTATGTAGTATCTCAGGATTGAAGTTTGTTTTATAGCCCCTGTACCCCTTGTATTTTTCAAGCACTATCTTGAAAACAGATGATGTATTTCTCCATTAAAAACACAATAAAAACAAACAGCAAAGAAGCATTCTGAGGGGTTTAAATCTGACCGAATTCAGATGCTCTTACATTGTTGCCGAGGAGGATAAAGACACGGAGATTTTTTGCTTTATTAGGTCTAGACCTCATGTTATAATATGAGGGGAACATTTGAAAAGGTTAAAACTTCAATAAGGTAAAAAAATGGAGTGAAAAAAGTTTTGATCAAAAGAGGGTAGGAAAGGGGCACCTGGGTGTGGCTCAGTTGGTTCTGTCGACTCTTGTTAATAGGCTCAGGTTGTGATCTCCCTGTTGTGAGATCAAGCCCCGCGTCAGGCTCCTCACTGAGTGGAGCCTATGTGGGCTTCTCCCTCTCCCTCCCTCTGCCCCTCCCCTGCTCTCTGTCTCAAAATAAATAAATTAAAAAAAAAAAAGGCAGGAGATAAAAAGGGCGGGGGGAGCATAGAAAAAGATAGGTAAAAAGAAAATACTGAATAGTCTAAGATGGTAGAAATGTAACCAATTATACGTCACTGCATGTAACAAATGGACCAAACTTCCTGACTAAAAAGAGTGTCAGGATGTGGGGAAAACTGAGTGCAGCTGTATGCTATTTATGAGAGACACATCCAAAATCTAAGACTTAAAGGAATGGAAAAAAATAGATGCCAACAAGAAAATGTTACAGTGACGATATCCCATCGAAACTGATTTCAGAGCAGTAGTAAACAAAATGGACCGCTGCTTTAGTGATACTGATACACTTAATTAATAAGATACTGCCAGGAAAATAGAACAGTTTAAAACTCACTTGCATCTAAATTAGCCTCAATGTAAAGTAACGTAACAAGCAAGGATTAGGAGAAATTGCCAACAGTGGTGGTGTCTTAGATTTAAAAATGGCTCTTTCATTAATTACTATCAAGCAGACCAAAAAAGGAAAAACAAAACAAAGCAGAAACAGAAACAAAAACAGAACAAGGGAAACAGTTCTGAACACAACAGAGGCTGGCAATCCTTTCCTATAAAGGGCCAGATAGTAAATATTTTCAGCTTTGGGAGGCCATATGGTGTCTGTCTCAACCACTTAACTGTTGTGGAGCGGAAGCAGCTAGAGACAATATGTAACCAGATGGCCAGGCTGGATTCGGTACCCATCCCCCTGGCTGGTGTTTGTCCCCCCTGATCTGTTGGACATTTATTACAGCGCCCTCCACCCAACGGTTGGAAAGTGCCTCTTTCTGTCAAATAAACATTGAGATGTGCAAAAGTTACCCTCCTGCTTGGTCAGAAAGTAAGGTTCAGCATATTGCAAAATACCTGGTTCATGGAGCACGTTCTCTGACTACAAAACAGTAAGGGTTTTTTTTTTTTTATCCAACAAGAAATAGCATAGAGAAGAAGTTCCTGAGGAAGACACACAGAAAGTTCAAACCCTGAAGAGATGGATGAACAGAATCTCTTTAATTGTATTAAGTAATGAATAGTGAAAAGTGAAAAACAGGCTCACGTGAGAAGATTGTAATACATAAAACTGACAGATAATTACTATCTGGAATAGATCAAGGATGCCAAGAACAATTTGTTTAAGAAAATCAAACAACCCAATAAAACACAGGCAAAAGCAGCATGTAGCCGCCTCGGAAGAGGAGCTAGGAATAGACAGGAAGCACCAAAAGCCGCCCCATCTCATTAGCAGCGAGGATATGCAAGTTAAGAGCATCGAAAGAAAGTCTAGGGGCGCCCGTTGGCTCAGTCGGTTAAGCGTCCGACTTCAGCTCAGGTCATGATCTCACAGTTAGTGAGTTTGAGCCCCGCATCGGGCTCTGTGCTGACAGCTCAGAGCCTGGAGCCTGCTTCAGATTCTGTGTCTCTGTGTCCTTCCTCTGCTCACACTCTGTGTCTGTCTCTCTCTCTCTCAGAAATAAATTAACAAAAAATTAAAGAGAAAAAACAAAGTAAGTCTAACAGCATCCAGGTTTGTAGAGGAGGAGGAGGGATTCTAAGAGCGCTGTGAGAGCAGGAACTGTCTTGTCCCCTTGGGAGCTGTGGGAGACCATCTGGACTCACCTGGCACCAGTGGCCTGCTCGCGTGCCCCTGTCACCATCCTGTGGGGGACCGATGTGCTTCATTGTCCCTGAACCTCCGGGGAGCCCGTCTGTGGCCCCCTCTGCAGCTGTGTGCAGAGCCCTACACATGTCTAGGTTACCTCCGGTGTGCATGTAAATATGATCTGCATGTGCCATGGTGTCAGAAGAGTCAGGAAGCATTCTCCTACAGATTCTGTCCCATGGGTCACCAGGACACGAGGACAGGGATATTGGTAGCAGCGTTTTGTAATAGCTTAAAGCTTGAAATAACCCAAAAACCAAAAATGAGGGGCAGATAGATAGTGGTGTCATCATGTAGTAAACGGTATGGAACTGTGAGATTCAATGAATCATAGCTACGTACATCAACATAGGTGTGTCTCATACGGTTGAGGAAAAGAGAAAATGGCAGAGAAATAGTGTGATATAAGCAAAGCAGAGAAGTGTAATTTGGGGTTACAAAAATGTGTGGTCTCACCACAAATTACAAATGAGGGAATGTTGAATGGAGAATCCAGAATAGCGGTTCCCTTCGGTAGGGGTGAGAGCTGGGGAGCAGGCAGGGAGGTGTAGTCTGGAGAACACAGGGAGCCTGGAAATGTTCCGCCTTTTTCAAGTTGGGGGTGGTGGTGGATGAAAACGGGGTTCATTTTATCATTAGTCTAAGTTATAAATGCTTTCGTACATGTGAAATCTTCCATGATCAAAAAACCCGATACCGAGTGGTGTCTTAGCGGCCTCTGTATCAGTTAGGAACTACACTTGGCTTTGTAACAGTAGCTGAACCCAATGCTGGTTTTGATTCTTTGGCGATACAGTAGTGGTAGGTTCAAGGCCCATAGGGTGGCTTTCCAGATCACCTGGGACCCATGGCTCCTTCTGTGGCCAGTCCTCCCCGACCATTCCAGTTCATGCCTTCAATCTGAAAGGTCCCAAATGCAGGATGCTTGTGGGGCCACTGCCGTCACATCTGCGTTTAAGGCAGGAAGAAGGCAGGAAGGGGGGGCAGGCAAAGGTGTCCCTGCAAACCTTGTCCTCCTTCCGTGGAGCTTTCCTAGAAGTCACAGCGGGAACATTCCCTCATCTCGCTGACTGCACCTTAGCCACATGGCCATGCCTGTCTGCACGAGAGGCCGGGAAAGCTCGTTCTTGTGAGCTGGGCACATTGCCTCATCATTTCTCACCATCGTGCGGTTAGGAAGGAGGAGAGAACGGACACTGGTGGGCAGTGAGAGCCGTCCTTTACACGGCACTCAATGTTTACAAGTTCAAACAGTCCAAGTAGCTCAG